GTGGTGGTGAAGGTCGTCAGCCCTGTGACCTATCTTGTACAGGTGCAAGGAAAGGTACGCTTCGTGCATGCAGACCACATGAGACGTCGGCAGACACCTCGGGAGCCACCCAGCACCTCGCCGTGCGAAGCACAAAGAGACTGTCCATTCGGCGATTCGCCGGCATCTCAAGAAGGAACGGCATCTCAAGAAATGCCTGACAATCCCACGACAAGCCAGGCTTGTTCAATGGTCGATACCCCGGCTTCAAAGTCAAAGTTTAAAGTCGACCCTGCTTCAACACCCTCAGCTTCGTCATCGGAAGCATCGCCACTTCAAGGGAACCCAGAAATTCCGCTGCGACGAGGTTCTCGAGTCCGGAGGCCCCCTGCCCGGTTTACTTCGGACAACTTCTCCTGAGGGGGGAAGAATGTTGTATACTGGCAAAGACGGTGTGCCAGTAGGCGGCGATGGCGCGAGCTCGGCGCGTACCACGCTGCCAGAGCTCGCGCAGTGCTCGCGATCGGCTCGGACTGATTATTAAAAATGGAGCCTTTCATCTGGAACGACCTGGTCTCGGCTCTCTCGTTCGCGATCTAACACTTCTCAGATGGGATATACTTCAGCAGGAGCCCGTCGGCATTCAGCGAAAATTGATCCAGCGTGTCAGTACCAGCACCAGATACATCTCGACACTCGGCGTTTACTGCAATACCAGCAGTCGTACGCCCGGCGGACGCGCCGCCCGACTTCACAGAGTCCGACTCACTCGAGAGTCCGTCGATCACCTTTCGACAAAACGGATCATTCTGCTGAGCTTTCAGTAGCTATTCTTTGCTGAACACGATCCCCACTGCGCTCACTGCGTCTATGTGGTTCACGTTTTCGTCCGAGGAGGCTAGTGGTGTTGCCTCCGTTTTGGACTGATTTTCGGCTTCGCGTGGCTGGAGTTTGCCATTGGCTCGGCCTGGGTCCTCGCGGAAAGATTTACGCAGTGTACGGGGGTTCGCGACAGTACGACCGCCACCACATTTGTGCTGCCTTTCCTGTACCGCACGACATAGTCGTATTTCTGCAGTAGCAAGGCCCATATCGCTAACCGTCCTGCGGGTTCGCGAAGTCTCGAGAGCCATATTAGGCTCTGGTGATCTGTTTCGATCGTGAACGTGGTCCTGTGACATAAATGTCGAAGCGCTTTAGGGCAAATACAATAGCCAAGCACTCTTGTTCACATGTGCTGTAGTTCATCTCAGCGGGTGTCAGCGAGCGGCTAGCGAAAGCTACCGGACCAAGCACTCCCTTGTGCTCTTGGATTAGGACCGCTCCCAAGCCCAGTTTGCTCGCGTCCGTTTGGATCACAAAAGGCTTGTTCAAGTCGGGCAGCTTTAGTTCAGCTATGTCCGCGAGCGTTTTAGAGGTGCAACGGAATGTCGCCTCCTGCTCGGAACCCCAACTCCATCTCAGGGTCTTTCTCAGTAGCCGCGTCAGTGGCGCTTGGAGTGACGCGCAGTTTGGGATGAATTGGTGGTAAAAATTGACCATCCCAGACAGCGACGGAGCGAGTTTACGTCTGTCGGCGCCGGAAACTCCCGGATAGCCTTTAGCTTCTCGGGGTTTGGCGTGATGAGCCCGCAATCGAGCGTGAACCCAAGCAAGTTGATTCGGGTTTCGGCTATTGGGCCTTTTCTGGCTTTAAAGTGATACCCGCGGCCTTTAGTCTGTCGAACACATCCTTCAGATCTCGTAGATGATCTTCGAAGGTGTTGGAGTGCACGACAATGTCGTCGAGATAGGCCATTGCATGTTTCCATTTGGGTTCTCCCAGTACTCGGTCAATCAAGCGTTCAAGCGTCATTGGCGCTCCGCACAGACCAAAGGGCATTCTTGTGAATTCGAAAAGCCCGCGGCGACACACAAAGGCTGTTTTTTCCTCGTCACCTGCCTCCATTTGAACTTGAAGGTAGCCTCGGCTAGCGTCCAGGGTTGTGAAATACCGTGCGCTACCGAGGTTGGAAAGGATCGAGTCAATGCTCGGTAGCGGATATGCGTCTTTCCGCGTTACGTCATTTAGACGGCGGTAGTCCACGCAGAGAGGTGAGCTTCCGTCCTTTTTTGGGACCAGCACAACGGGAAATCCCCAGGGACTGTTTGACCGCCGGAAAACTCCGGTGTTGATCATTTCGTCCAAGGCGACGTCGAAGGCTTTTCGTTTAGCCAGACTGACGGGTCGTGCGTTTTGCCTCCGAGGAAGCCCGAGATCGACGTAAGTAGCGGTAGGCACCGCTACTCACGTCGATCACGATCCCTGGTTTGGCGAGAGAATCTCTGCCCAGGATGATCGGAACGAAAAGACTGGGGAGATGAACAAAGCGTTGCCGTCTTACTCGATTCTCCCATCTCGCAACCAACCGCACAGTACCGCTTGAATGGGCGGTACCACACGCGAGTCGAAAGGCCGTGTTGCCCTCCCTCATGTGCACTGAGTTTTGCTGGAGGTTGGCCAACACTTCGTCGCCGAAAAGCAAGGCGCTGGCTCCTGTGTCCAGCAGTGCCTTGAACGTCCGACCGACAATCGTCAGGGCTATGAATGGGGCTAGCGTGCCGGTCAGAAAGCCTGTTCTGTAGGCTGTAGGCAAAAGCGTCTCCTGCTCCGTGCCGTTTTGAGCCGCCGGGTTGGTTATCGGCGGCCTTGCTCGTTTCCCGACTGTTGGGAACCGGGGTTCTGCCGTTTTGGGCATTGTCGAACCAGGTGGTTGGCGCTATTACAGCGAAAGCAACGTTGTTGCGGGACATTTCTTGAGTCTTGTCGTGCGCTTTGACGTGCGCCGCGCCTTTCGTCCTGTGTGTTTGGACGCTTTGGCCGCGTTTCCTCCCGTGGCGTCGGTAACTCTGTGGTCCGATCTCTGTGGTCCGAGACTGCGCCTGTTGAACTGCGGCGCAGTCTCTGCTTCCCGCCGTTCATAGGAGTACGGGTCGAGCGCACGATCTAATATGTAGTACGTGTTTCGACTTCGCTCGTCTGCGTAGCGGGCGGCTTCGTGTCTCCTGTATCGGGACGCCGCGTCCCCGTTCCGCGCGCGGCGCGGCTCGAGTGCCGCTGATGCTAGCGGTGGGGGGCGATACGCTCGTGCGGCGAGAATGTCTCCTTGAATCCGCCGAGCCTTCGAGGCCAGGTCGTTCAGGTCGCGAAAGCGACTGCCTCGGGGATACGACGCAAAAGTCGGGTGCGTTTGTCGAATGACTCGCTCTACCCGCTCTGCATTGGGCGCTGGGGGTTCTGCTAGCTTAAAGAGCTCTTGCATCGCCCTAACGAACTCCAACAGTAACTCGTCTGGGTGTTGGTTTGTTCGAGCTCTCGCCTCATCCTGCGTTCGTAGTCTGCAGGGAGGAATTCCTCGCGAAATGCCTTGCGGAACTGCTCGATCGACGACAGTTGGCTTCCGGTTAGACGGAGCCACCGCGCCGCTTGGTCGACCAACGAGATTGGCAAGATGCGTTCTAGTATCTCGTGGTCCGACAATCCCGTGGCCTGGTGGTACCTTTTCCGGTATTCGAGGAAGTCTGTCGCACTCACTCGGTCTCCGTACCCGTGGTATGTCGGGATAGGAATTCTGACCGGGGCCGTGTCGGCGACAGGGGCCTAACTGCTGTTTGCAGTGCGCTCGTCAGGCTTTCGATCACCCGTGCTGCCTTTTCTAGCAGGGGTTGATATGCGCCGAGCGCGCTTTCTCTTTGGTGAGAATAGCTCTCCGCATGTGCGGCTGGCGGGTTGTTCCCTCTGTATGGGCCCGCCAAGTGGTTTGTTGCGCCTGTAGCAGCTGTGCTGTGCTGCGGCTCGTAGACGGCGTCAGTGTTATCTCCGTGCGGAGAAGCTGACGGCCAGTCTGAGGTGAAGAGATCGAAGTTGTAAGAGGCCGCATCTGCCTGCTGTTGCGTCATTGTCTCTTGTCTCGTCGGACCCGTGTTGACTTCGAAAGTCGCGAGTGGGATTGGCTCAGCGACGAAGGCTGGCGTGCTCCGAGAAGGAGTGCCTCGGTTGCCTTCCGGGCATTGTGAGTCATACCCATTAGGGAAGCTCGGCTGAAAGGACACTTGCTCATTGTGTTCGTGCGTGGCTGGCGTGGCCACAAAGCCGTTGAGTGGCATCGGGTTTTGGGCATTCACCTTTCCCTCTGTCCACGAAGTTCTTGGCCGGAAATTGGCCTGGTTCGCAGTCATTGCGAGAGTGCTGCTTTGTTTGCAGTCGCCGGACAGGCAGCACGTTTGGGCGCCAGATGTAGGTTTCCCCTTTTATGGGGGTACCACTTTGAAACACAGAAGGTTCCTTGGGTCCGGATAAAGACGTGTTTATTGACCCAAATGTCACACGCTTGCCCGAGGGCCAACAATGGTGGAGATGACGGCGATGTCTCTTTTGACAGGATCGCCAGTCAGAGTCCGCGCTGCCGCTGTTGACAGTATCGCGGAGGGGGAGGATCAGATAAGAATATGAAGGCTCCGTCGAGCAGAGCCGCCCCCAGCGGGAGTCCCGCCCGTTCGATTCGGGCCGTCTTATATAGCCTGCGGGAATGGACGCGCCCAGGGTGGGTCAGATGTAGGTGGCTCTCCGGAGGGGAGGACGCGTCCAAGTCATGATCCCGAGGGGTGTGCCTTAGGAAAATCACCCCAGAAGGGCGAGGGAAAGCCGTCCACCAGGGAATACGGCTTCGCCCTCGCATCCGGGACGCGCCCCCACGTGGCGAGGCCCCACAGCCTGCCTGAGCTAGGCCTAGATAGGGATGCGGGGAACACGTTGTTCCACAATGTACATCAATTGCTATTTAGAGCTGCCGGGGAGATAAGCAATAAAATAAATATCCAATGAAAGAGCCACCGAGAAGTGCGATTAAATATAAACGTTTTGGTTGGGCAGCGATTGTCAGACAATGAAGAAACGTATATCGAGTTGATGTCTATTCTCAAGCAATCATGAGAAGTTCCGGCATCCCCTTAGGGTCGGTGTCCACATATGTGGTGCTTACCTGAACTGGCTTGTCCCACCATCGATTGGCTGCATATTCGGCGTTCGGGCCGCCCCTGTATACCTGCCGGGGCCAAGCCACTTCGTAGGGCTCCGCGTCTGCCACCCCGCCGTCTAAGCACACCACGAGGGCAGCCCGCTTGATCGCTTCCAGAGACTTCGCATTTTGAGCATCTGCGTCCACATGATCAGAAATACGAATGTGCAATGTTTGGTGTTAAAGAGAATTACATAATTGACGAGGACAAGACAACACATCTGTATTACTGGCAGACTTCATTTATTGTCACATTCGTCAACATCTGCGACTGTTGTCGCCCTGAGCTGAATGATTGAGGAGGAAAGGAAGGAAGGGTAGAGGTGGGGAGAGAGAGAAACATGTTGACGGGACTGTGCCTGACGCAGAATTTGCGGCGTCAGTAGGAGCAAGGCAGGTTTGGTAAAAAGAGGGGGAGCGTAATAAGGGAAGTGACATTTAGGAAGGATGAAAGGCCCCCAAGTTGTTGTAGTTTTGGACGCGCAAAGGCCACGTCCGCGTCGGTGAGACATAGCGATGAAGGCGCAATGTTTTACGGAGAATGGTGCATGGCGAAAGCTTCGATTATCTCGCGGCCGTTATATCGACCTGTATCTTCAAACTGTGGTGGCAACGGAAAACTATGTTTAGCAGGAATTCATTTCCTGGAGTGCAATCTATCCTTAAGGTTATAGTTTTTTTTCTACTTCTTTTCCAGCGCTCTTTTCTGCGAGTGGTCGGTTCAACCAGTAAAATGAACAATCCAAGTAGCTGAATTATTGGTTTGAGTTGATCTGGTTGATACATGTTCAGAGAATGTGAAGAAACCGATTGAACGAAAACCCTCTTATACAGAAACAGGAAAAACCCATTCCAAGTCGCACAATAGGTTGGGACCATGGAGGCCCACGTGGATATTGTGGGCTTGGGCAGCGCCTGCCAAACCACGTTTCTCTAACGTCGGTAGGCCGAATATGAGCTGCCCACGCAGTGGCGCGGTGGGTGAAATCTAAGATATGCTGTGCAAAATTTGGCGTATCGTGTGCATACCAAACAATGGCTGCCTAGCAATTCCCTCGTGGGTCCCCCTCCGCTACACTAGGGCACGCCTGAATTGATCTGCCGCTGGAATATCGTTGTTGTTCACACGTCAACTCTGCGAGGGCAGAAGTAGCGCAGATGCGGGCTTCAGGGCGGCAAACAATTGTCCTGCCGAACTTAGACTGCCCATGTAATTTCTCAGTGGCTGCCACCTCGGAAATGGGGGAGGGGGGGGGGGGGGAGTCGTAGTTAGCGTATCTAAATGCAACGCGTGGGACTGCTCGAGTTTGTCTGCCCATGTAAAACACAGGTGGGCCCATGTACGGCTCTCGTACGGCCGAGGTCTCACCTCTGCCGTACAGGGGCAACTTTGCGATGATGCGGGCTCCACGGCGGCGAAGTGTGGGCATGCCCGAAATGGGCTGCCCACAAAACCTTCGTGGGACCCACCTCGGTTTACGGGGGCCAAGTTGCGATGATGTGGGCTGAACGGCGGTGATGCTTCGGTATGCACCGACTTGGGCTGCTCATACAAAAACCCCATGGGAGCCACCACGACTCTGTGGTGGCCAAATGCGAAATCGGGGCACCACGGTGGAGAATTGTAGGCGTGCTCGAGTTGGGCTACCCAAGAATAACCCTCACGGGTCCAACCTCGGCTTTGCAGGGGCCGAGTTTACGAAGACGAATGCTCCACCAAGGCAAAGCATGGGCATACCCCAATCTGGATGCCCATGAAAAACCCCCGTGGGTCCCACCTCGGCTTTCCAAGGGCAAAGTTGCAATGATGTTTGCCCATCCGGTGGCAAAGCCTGGGCGTTCCCGGGTGAAGCTGCCCATGCGAAACCCCAGTGGGTCCCACCTCCGCTATGGAGGGGCGAAGTTGGGATGAAAGGTGCTGCACGGTGGTGAAGCGTACCCTTACAGAGATGTCATATCTGGACTTATATTAAAAAACACAGATATCGATATATAAGGAATTGGGCAGATATAACCAGATATGCATGGTCTGGCCATATCTGGACTGATGAAGCCATACCTGCCCAATTCCTTATATACCCATATCTGCCCAATTCCTTATATACCCATATCTGCCCAATTCCTTATATGCCATATATGGACTGCTATATATGATCCCGTGTTTGGCCTGGCAAATAGGGTATCCACCCCATATATAGCAATTTCATGCGATGCTCCTTCTAGAATCACATGAAAATTATTTTCATGGGGCAGGTACCCTATTTTCCAGGTCCAGACATGGGATCATATAATGCATTTCTATGAATATCCACATAATATACATTTTACTGCTATCCCACACTGCCAAACGTGTGTTTACGTAGATATATCTACAGAATAGGCCACTGACCAATCGTTATTGGTCTGGTTCGGAATCTGTCATTCCGACATGTCTGTCTGCTACACATATAGAATGCAGGCGATCGCTAGCTCGGAAACACTGTAACATATCATTCGACGTCGGAAAGTAAACAGCCCTTTGGCGGGATTGGTTGTCGAGGAAGCAGACCGAGAATATAGTTTGCAAAAAAGTTTTATTTATAAAAGCACCAAAACTCTAAACAAGTACTTCCCCCATTCAAGAAAAAATGATAAGAAACAAAACTGTAATATAGAACGGACAAACATGAAAATAGACTAAAAATGTAATAGCACAAAGACACATATTAAAATAAAACAAACAGAAGGCAACAATTAAGCAGTAAACTATACGAAAGTTTTAAAGTCGTTGATTCCTACTCACAGAGTCACAGTCCTGATTCAACTCTCCGGTCGAGCACAGCAGTTTTGACAAGGGCATGCTTGCTAGCCTCGTCGTTGAAGTCCTTCTTTGCACCGTGTGATGTTCAAAGCCCCCAGTCGCTCCTTGCTGGCCTTGTTTTTCTGTTCGGTCACCAAATCCTCCCGTGTGATTAACACGTCACAGATGCACACAGACACCGTTGTTCGCCGCGGAAGAAATACAAGATGAAAAGGTCATTACTGCTCCTTGAACACGACGAGGTCACCACTGTTTCCCGGACTAGGAAATGACGAGGGCATCATATCCTTAACTAAAACCTCATAAAAATAAAATATTGAACACATAAGAAACAAAAACAAAAGGACTAAATCATGAGAAAATGAAATAATGAACACAGAAGTAAAAAGAATAAAAATACGAAGGACATACACAGACAGCCACATTTGTTCAGTTAACAATGACGTTTAATTCTGATAAAAAGTATTCCTACTGTGCTAAAGATCACCAATATGGTGTGTAAACTAGGCCACCTTGAGCAAAGCAGGAATATTTGTGATCATAATCAAATGTCACTGCGAACTCAAAAAGTGTGGCTGCCTGCGTAAGTCCTTCGTATTACTATTCTACTGAATTCCGTGTTCAATATTGTGACTGTTTGGGACCAGGCGGAACTTAGTGGTGCTTTTTCCATTCTGACCTTACTTCGGACAGCTTCGTACCCATAGAAAAACCCCACTAGCTTCTCTATTAAATCCCACTCCTCAAAAAAAGGAAAAAATTGTGTGTATGTTTATACAGTCGGAAGTTAGTGTGCCTCAGTGGGCGTCTGCTGTCTCAGCTGTATTGTAATTTAGCCAGCGCGGTACAACCGCTAGCCTTGGGCCTTTAACGCGCACCACGCAGTAGTGATACACAACCGCACGCCGGTACGATGCTCATCCAAGATCGAAACGGGCAGGGGCGGGGATCCACTCCTTTTCCTTGCTTCCCTTGAGGCACTGACAAATAAAAATCAATGGTTGGGTGAATTATTTTAGCGCAATATACTTCAAACACGTAGTATGAGTGCTGGCAAGATATTTGCTGTCTTCAATCTAGATAAGCTTGTAAATTTACATGCTAAATAACAAGTAACTTAAAAGCTGAAATATATTTCGATGGAATTACAAAAACCGAAGACTAGCTCTGCAAATATAGTGCTATCTAGTACACCATAATTGAGTAGAATCGGATTACAGCGTCCCCCTTACAAAGACTGGAGCAAAACAAGTATAGACTCTGCCGTTCCACTACAACAGAAACAATGGTATTGTGATCTCGTGGAGATCAGAATTCGGAAAAATTGTGACAGGCTTTGGCACGACAAATATTCCAATGGCATTATTCATTTTTGCATATTCTACGGTGACAGTGCAGAGAAACAATCACACACCAGATACCCAGAAAGACAAGCACACGCGCTGAACGTATAACTCTTGTGTATTCGACTACTTCCTTCTTCTCTTCAACGTCTAGGTGGACATTCCAGATCGGGATAAGCAGAAGAAATACCACGAAATACAAGAAAAAAAAGCGAAAGACAAGAGAAGAGAAAAGGAATAGACAAAAGAAAAAAGTAAAGAACGAAAAAGAAAACTCTTACAATTCATCCCTCTCCCTCCCCCCTATCGTTTAGATAGAACCTGGAACTCTTTGTTCGACAGCGCTTAGAAGGACTACTTGCACACTTGTCCTGCAGATCCTCTATTCTTTGCGCTTTCATTATTTTTCTTGTCAGTGGGTCTCAAATCCCATCTATTGCAGAACAATTTTCAAAATGTGCTACGCAACCACAATCCTGACAGTAGATTCCCAAATGTCGAGCGAAAACTCGATGGGTATTATAAAAATGCTCCATAAAAACGATCATTCAAACACCCGCCAGTCTGGCCTACATGCTCCTTACCACACTACTTATGTAGACCAGACTGGCAGGTGTTTAAATGATCCTTTAAAGGAGCATTTTTATATCACCCACTGAGTCGCCGCTGGACATTTGGGAACCCACTGTCCGAATTGTGGTTGTGTAGTACATTTTGAAAATTATTGTGTAATAGGTAAAAGTCGAGACCCATTGACAAGAGAAATAATGGAAGCGTAAAGAATAGAGCCTCAGAAGAACAAGTGTGTAGGTAGTTCTTCTATAGTGCTGTCGACCAAAAAGCTCCAATTTCTATCTTAAGGATAGCAGTGAGGGAGAGGAATGACTTGTAAAGGCTTCCTATTTTAATGTTTATTTGTTTTTCGTTTCTTTTTTTTGTGCTGTTCTTCGCTTTTTTTCTTGTATTATGTGCTATTTCTTCAACTTATAACGTT